ATCAAATACCTTGGCAAGTTCTTAACCAGAGATGTGAAAGACTTTTACAACGAAAACTACAAAACACTGCTCAAAGAAATCAAAGATGACACAAACAAATGGAAAAATATTCCGTGCTCATGGATAGAAAGAATCAACAATGTAAAGATGTCCATCCTACCCAAGGCAGTCCACAGATTTAACGCAATACCCATTAAATTATCAGCAGCATTGTCTCAGATCTGGAAATGACAATACAGGAATTCATATGGAAACATAAATAACCACGAATAGCCAAAACAATCCTCAGCAAAAACAAACTCCTCCAAACAACAAAAAAAACAAAAAAACAAAACAAAGCAAGGCGGGAGGCATCACACTTCCAGACTTTAAACTTTACTATAAAGCTACAATATTCAAAACAGCCTGATATTGTTACAAGAACAGGCATATAGACCAATGGAGCAGGAGAGAGATTCTGGAAGCAAAACTTCAATTTCTCAACCAACTCGTCTTTGACAAAGCTTCCACCACCAACCACTGGGGAGAGGAGAACCTATTCAATAAATGGTGCTGGAAAAACTGACTGACCACATGCAGAAGATTAAAACAAGACCCCTACCTATCATCATACACCAAAGTCAACTCTAAATGGATCAAAGACCTAAATGTAAAACCTCAAACTATAAGAACCTTAGAAAATGTAGGAGACACTCTTGTGGAAATTGAAACTGGCAACCAATTCCTGATCAAAATCCCAAGTGCCCATGCCATAAGAGATAAGATAGACAAGTGAGACCTCATCAAACTGACAAGCTTCTGCAAAGCCAATGAAACCATCAAGAGAACAGGAAGACAGCCTCTGAACTGGGAAAAAATATTTGCCAACTGTATATCTGATAAAGGCCTAACATCTAGGATCTACAAGGAACTCAAACACGCCAAAAAGAAAAACCAAACAGCCCTATTACAAAGTGGGCAAAAGATATGAATAGGTACTTCTCAAAAGAAGACATAGGGGCATCCAATAGAAATACGTAAATATGCTCATCAACAAAATGCAATTAACGAAATGCAAATTAAAACCACACTGAGATATCATCTAACTCCAGTCAGGTTGGCCATCATCAATAACACACAAAAAAACAACAGATGCTGGAGAGGATACGAGGAAAAGGGAACACTTTTTTTTTTTTTTTTCCAATTTTTGTCCATTTAGGAGTATGCTGGCTGTGGGAACACTTTTACACTGTTGATGCGAGTATAACCTAGTACAACCTCTGTGGAAAACAATTTGGCGATTCCTAAAAGGTCTAAAAACCAACCTTTCATAAAACCCCACAATCACCCTACTGAGAACATACCTGGAAAAACTCAGATCACTCTGTGAAAAAGATACCTGCACGACGCATATTTATTGCAGCATTGATCACAATAGCAAAAACATGGAACCAATAGTGCTGCCCATCGAAAGAGGGCTGGACAAAAAAGATGTGGTACACATACACAATGGAATGTTACGTATTCACAAAGAAGGACAAAATTACGGACTTCACTGCAACTTGGATGGACTTAGAGTCTATGATACTATGTAATCTCTCACAGAAACAAAGAGCTGAGTATCACATGTTCTCACTCATAAGTGGACCTTGAACAATTATCATAATAGTATGAGAAAAGGATTGCCAGTAGTGGGAAATTGCCAGGGGATGGAGGGTGGGATTGGCAGTAGTGGGAATCTGCCGGAGGGGGGTACACCTCATCAACAAGGGCACCTGCATAATGAACATTTGTATACCTAACCCTGAATTGTACCACCTTTTTTTTTGAGCTGGAGTTTCACTCTGTCGCCCAGGTTGGAGTGCAGTGACACGCTCACTGCCACACTAGTGTCAACCTGTTGTCCGGCAGTCCCTCCACCTCAGTCTTCCAAGTAGCCGGAACTACAGGCGCTCACTACCACACCCGGCTAATTTTTTTATTATTATTATTGTAGAGATGAGAGCTTGCCAAGTTGCCCAGGCTGGTCTTGAACCCGTGGGCTCAGGTAATTCACTCGCCTCAGCCTCCCAAAGTGCTGAGATTACAGGCTGAGCCACTGAGCCCAACCACACATCTTCAAAAAAAAAAAAAATTAAAAAGCATGTGTAAGTTTTAAGATCAAAGAGGGTCAATTTCAGAGTTTTTAAAGAAAATCAGTTATATGAGGAAATTGTGCCAGTCTCAACAATATAGAAGAAAATCTTCACAACCTCCTAGATATGATATCAAATGCATGATCCATACAAGTAAAAATGGATAAATTGGGCTTCATCAAAATATTTTACTCTTTAAAATCTACTGTTGAAAGAATGAAGAGACAAGCAACAGACTTGGAGAAAATATTTGAAAATCATATATCTGGTAAATAATTTGTGTCCAGAACACACAAAGAACTTTTCCTACTTGATAAAAAGACAAAACACATTTTTTTAAATGGGCAAAAATTTTCACTAAAGAATATAAAGGAATTATTAAGAACATGAAAATATGTTCAACTTCATTAGTTATGGGGAAATTCAAATTAAAACCACAATAAGATACCATTCCATTCCCAATAGAATGACTGTCATACGAAAGACACACCAAATGTTGATAAGGACGTGGAAAAAGTGAAACCTTCATACATTGTGGTGGGAATGTAAAACAATACAGATGCTTTGGAAAGCAGTTTGGCAGTTTAAAAATGTTAAACTAACCATATTGGCCCAGCAATTTCATTCCTAGGCACCTGCCCAAGAAAAACAAAAGTGTATTTTCACACAAAGACTTGCACAAGAATATTCACAGCAGCATTGTTTATAATAGCCCCAAACTACAAACAATCCAAATGTCCACCAACTGGCAAAATGTGGTATAACCATACAATAGAACGACAAGGAACAAAATACTGATATGTGCAACAATGTGGATGAGCACAATAACATGCTAAGTGAAAAAAGTCAGAAGTGGAAGATTACAAAGCGTGTGGTTCTACTTATATGAAATGTCCAGAAAACAAATTCAGAGAGACAAAAAGATGCGTGGTTACCTAGGAGTAAGAATGGGAGTGAGGATTAACTGTAAATTTAATGATTGTTATACAATTCTATAAACTCCCCCCAAATTAAACTGTCTCCTTGTAAAGAGTGAATTTTATGGCATACAAATTATACCTCAATAAAGCTGTTAAAAACGTTAATAAGAAATCTTATATACTATAGTTTCCTAATGTAATCTTTCTATAGCTTAAATTTATCTCAGGCCTTAATCTCGTATTGGCTCCTTTTTGTTATCTGGCTACTCTGTATCTTCTGGCCTCTAATTTTGCTCTACATGCTTTCTTTTGAGATTTTATCAGCTATGACTTCAACAGTCACCGAAATCCTGGAACTATTGTGATGTGTATATCCAACCCAAATCTACTTCCCAAAGTCTAAATTGATATTTCTAGCTGCCTATTGGGAAAATCTAAACAGATATTCCATCATTGCTTCTAATTACCTTTACCACACCTTCACTTTCAATCTTACATTCTCTTTTATAACATTTATGAATTCTTCTTTCATTCTTTATATGGTATCTTATTCCATTCCCAATTTATATTTAAGTATAGGTTCTTCCTAGCACTTTATATTTAAGTATAGGTTCTTCCTAGCACTAATACAATTTTGCCAAGTCCTAAATATTTTTTTCACAGGTTATTAAAATGTAAGTTCTTTGTTGTGGGGGGGAAAGTTGGATTGAGAGGACAGAAAAGTCCCACAGTGGGAGGGGCCCCGAAGGGGTTGCCCTAAAATGTAAGTTCTTAACTAATAAGGCTGTGTGACTCTTGGTCTCTGCTTTCATTAGCAACAACAGGAGTTATTCAACTGATATCCCAGTGTACACTGTGTGCAATGCTACCTCTAGATTCAGGGGTGCCTGGGATGATTTCCCTGCGGTCTGGAGTTTACAGTCCAGTGATCAAGACAAAGACATACGGAAATAAATGTAAACTAGTCGCACCTTTAATACAAATCCAGGACACACCTAGAATAGGGAACACGTGTTTGAAATTAGGACCCCCCTCCCACCACTCTGGGGAGAAACGGCTGATTAATAAAAGGAAACGCTGAGGGTCTTTATCAACCTCATAATTACGCCTGCAGTTTGGTAGCTGAATACTGCACATTGTCATGTCTCAAGTCTCACTTTTCAGCTTTCTGGATTGAACCTTTTCGTTTGGGGTCTTTGAGCTCCGTCGCCCACGAATTACCCACCCTGCCGCTTCCCGTTCTTCTGCGCGTGGCCTCCTTTTGCGGACCAACCTGCGGGAGCGCCCGCGGCGGGGCGGGCCGTCGGAGGCCGGCGGGGGAG